TGCCTCAGATGACGACATCAACGATCCACAGCCAAGCACCAGCGGCCAATAAAATGTTTCGTACATGTTTATATATTTTGATATGTTTTGCAATTGGGAAAATGTTTCCTATGGCATTTTTTACACCTGTATTTTGTATTTTTGTATGCACCTGCATTTTGTAATTTTGTATGTTTTGCAAATATTAAACCAGTTGTACTGGTAATGCAGTGTTTTACTTAAACCTGACAAATGTAAAAACAAGAATCAAAATGGCGTAGACATGATACAAATGGCATAAAATGAACAAAGACAATTATGATACATAACAATAATGAAAGAAAATTATGATAAAATATGATTTAAAGATTTTTATAACATCATTTCACAGTACTGTACATATAGCCTACTCAACTTACAACCAATCGTGTTACGACCGGTCTGTCGGAACCAATCGTGGTCGTAAGTCGAGCACTAGCTGTAAATGCTTCTTGAGTGAACTAGTTTTCTGTTCTGTGACAAATTACAAATTCTAACCTGTTGGTTCTAATAGCAAACAGCATACAAGTCATCTCCAAAAACCTAGGTTGGCATACCCTGCTACCCAGTTGCCTAGAGGAATTTGGTATAATGCTAGTAGGAAATGGTGACATTTCATTACGATTATAGAAGAAAGTGTTATGAATTCAGATCTTGGAAAGAATGGACACTAATATGTCCAATGAATACAATTTTCACAGTATGTCCAGGTGTGGATGTCTGTATTCGAAATGTCTGCCACTTTTGCTGAGCGTGGTAGTGTGTCTGCAGTCCCAGCTACTTGGGAGGCTGAGGCAGAAGGATTGCTTGAGCTCAAGAGTTTCAGGGTGTAGTGTACAATGATTGTGCCTGTGAATTGCCATTGTACTCCAGCCTGGGCAACATAGTGAGACCCCGCTGCTAAAAAAGGAAAAGAAACGGAGAGAAAAGAAAAGAGAAGGGAAGAAAAGAAATGACTGCCACTTTTGACAAGTTTTTAAATTTTCAACTAATTTTCTTCTTAAAATATTGAGGTTTTAGTGAACACTTGCTTTTAGAGTGAAGTCCTTCAATTCCATTAACACATAAATTTCATTAATGTCATGAAATCCTACTTATACAGGTCTGAATTCTTTCTAAATACAACAGACTACACTGGATCTGTCCAAAAGTCAAATGTGTTGAATTGAACTGAGTCTCAAACTTACTTTATTGGTGAAAATCTTCTAAATTATTATGCTTAAGGTTTTACTACTGCAACTTTCTAGTTACCCTATAATTTTACTTTTTTTTTTTTTTTTTCTGAGATGGAGTTTTGCTCTTGTTCCCCAGGCCGGAGTGCAATGGCGCAGTCTCGGCTTACTGCAACCTCCGCCTCCTGGGGTCAAGTCCTTCTTCTGCCTCAGCCTCCGGAGTAGCTGGTATTACAGGCGTGAGCCACCGTGCCTGGCCCCTAATTTTACTTTCTTTAAATGGCATGAGATTACATTAAATAGTAACAAGGGGCAGACATCATCAAAAGAAACAGTGAAGACCACTCATACTTTGTCAGACCCGACGCGATGGGTTGGAAAATACATAAACCCAGGGAGGATGATTTCCTTACCCTCAGATAGATCAGTTCCTCCCCGTAGGTAGCAGATAACATCTTCAAAGGTAAAACTGAGAAACCCAACAACTACTTGATTGATGAGTAGGCAGCCTGCTAGTACGGGACTCCGTCATTCATTTACAAACGCTGGGCATTGTGCTCTGGCCCTGGAGCTGCAGAGGTAAACCAAGCGGACCCGCCGCCTCCCTCACGAAGGTTCTAGGAGCTTACATTTTCACGGAGAAGACAAAACAATGAGCGAGCACACACATACCTAAGACAGATCATTTCGGGTGCTGCGCAGGCCCACAAGGGTAACAAAACACGGTGATGTGTCAGGGGTGGGTTCCAGAGTCTGGAAAGGGAGGAAGTTCGCTCTCTTTCAAACTGCATTCGTCATTCTGCCTGGCGACTCTATTTGGGTTGGCTCAGAGGAGGACTGGTGGCTGATTATCGTTTAATGACCCACCGCGGCCGCCCAGGCCCACAGTTCTTCAAGACCTTGCAGGTCAGCGCTTTCCAACTTCCCAGGACTCTCCCTGCTCCAGAGCGAGCCTGAGCCGGCTCCCAGTTTTCCTGGTAATCTCCTCGTCACCGCCCTGCTGCAGCATTTTACTCACGCCCTCCAGGGAGCGGGCCTCAGCGTCCAGCTCTCAGGATGTGGATTGCTGCAAATAGCACCGACAGCTGCAGCTGGAGGTAGCCGCCCGGGAAGCCAGCCAGCTGGTGCCACCGCAGGGGCCAGGGCCGGCCGCGGGCCACCGCACGCCCTTGTGAGCAGCTCAGCGGAACCCCCGACGAGGCGGTCGGACTCGCCAGTGCAAATTACGGCTTTTATTTCCGTGTGGGTGCACACGTGGGGAGGCAGGGCGGGTGGGGAAGGACAGGGTGCGCCCTTCAGTGTTTGCCACTTTTCTTCACAACTGCCCGGGAAGTAGGTCGGCACCAATGATCGCCTCATTTGCACAAACAGGGACACTGAGGTGAAGGAGGGACTGCACCGCCTGTACAGAGCGGACACATGGGGAAGCAGGAATCCCTCCAGCCCCTGCGCTCCTGGAGCCTGGCCTTTTCTTTCTGGTTGCTCAGTCCTTTCTCGGTATCTCCTGACCGTTTTTCCCTCCTGTGTTCTCTGCTACGTACACAAGACTCACCTCCTCTAACCACGCTCCTCAATGCGAAAATAGGAGGATTACTTACAAAGTCCCACTGGAAATTTGTCTTTAAAGAAGGAAGCCTAGGCCGGGCACGGTGGCTCACGCCTGTAATCCCAGCACTTTGGGAGGCTGACGTGGGCAGATCACCTGAGGTCAGGAGTTTGAGACCAGCCTGGCCAGCATCTCTACTAAAAATAAAAAATTAGCTGGGTGTGGTGGTGCACGCTCCTAATCCCAGTTACTTGGGAGGCTAAGGCAGGAGAATCACTTGAACTGATGGGGTGGAGGTTGCAGTGAGCTGTTATCATGGCACTGCACTCCAGCCTGGGTGGCAGAGTAAGACTCTGTCTCAAAAAAAGGAAATCTAGCCCAAAAGGTATTTAAAACACATCTCCTTGCTCTGTCACACACAAGGGGAACAGGGATGGGGGCCCTGGCCTGTGTGTAACCCCAGGCACACCTTCCCCAGAGGGAAGTGGAAAGGTGACAGGAGGGAAGCTGAGGAGGATGTCTTGTTCTTCCTGAGGGTGTCCGGCATTTGCTGAGTGGGTGCACCCTTGCATGGGCGTGAGTTCTGCAGGGCTCAGGTGGCTCTCCAGCACACGGACAGGGCTGATGCTTGGCCCTTTGGGGCCTACTCTTCCACAAGGACATGGATTCGCTTCCTCGGGGTTCAGCCTGGCATGGAAAGGAGTTCTGGGCCCTCTCAAAGCTGGGGAAACTGGAAGCCTGAGCACACACTGTAGGTCCAGTCTCGTGGCCTGACAGGGTATGTGACAGAGCGGCCACTCCTTCCTCTGAGCGAGACAAAATGCTCTCCTGAGACGAGAGGGCCAAATGAAGAAACTAGACTGCCGAGGTAGGCCCCATTCCGCTCTGATGGTTGGCCAAGGTCCTGGGGGAGCTTCTCAGGGCAGTTTTAGCTCCTCTTTGAGCTCTTCATGTGAAAAAGGGAGGCAAAACCTGATTAAGAAATAAGTGTACAGCAGCAGAGCTGTACACAGGAAACTGGGGCAAATGACCGTGACATTGCGTTGTATTTTCATCTTTCTTCTTTTCAGTTTTGTTCTGCAACAGAAAATTTATAATTTAAATGTCAAGAATTTAGTTGGTGGGCCAGATGCAATGGCTCACACCTGCCATTCCAGAACCTTGGGAGGCTGAGGTAGGAGGAGCGCTTGAGGCTAGGAGTTTGAGACCAGCCTGGGCAAGAAAGTGAAATATCCATCTCTACAAAAATTTGTTTTGAAAAATAGCTGGGCATGATGATGCATGCCCGTAGTCCCAGCAACTCAGGAGGCTGAGGTGGGAGGATCGTTTGAGCTCAGGAGGTCAAGGGTGCAGTGAGCTATGATGGGGCCTCTGCACTGGTCAGCAGAGTGAGACTGTCTCAAAAAACAACAGCAACAAAAGAACTCAGCTGGTATTCAGTAGCACATGATACTTAAGCAGTCTGCCTAAAAAAACCAAAACCCAAAAATACAACGTTTTTAAACAACCCATACAAGCTGACAGGTGAAAGATGAAATAAGATTTGCAGTAAATGAGAGGCACAACTACATTCTTCTTTTTCAATTAAATTTGAAACTCGCCTCAGCAAATATGTATGTGTCCTCCAGGTGGATGTGCGTTTCAGGCTTCCTTTCTGCTGCCTATGACTGCTTTAAGTCTGCCAGAAATTCCCTTGAGAGAGAGGATCTTAATGTAGAATATTAAGTCCTCTGCCTAGCATATCCATAAAGCCAGGCCGACCTCTTTCCCAGGGGTGTGAGAAATTGCTTTTGTGTACTATTTGGAGAGGCCTTGGCATCCAGAAACAAAGAAAAGTGAAATAAACCAATGGCCTTTAGAGATAAGATAATGAAGTACAAAGACCTAAAGAAGCACTGAGTTTTAAGTTTTAGTGCTTTAAAGAAGCACTAGTTTTAAAAAAATAATCCAAGTTAAAGCTTTGGAGCCACTGCATTTGTGACCACTCTCACTTGACCACTTGCTAGTATGGGTATCCTTGGGTAAGTACCCGACCTCCTGTGCCTCCATTTCTCCATTTGTCAAATGGGCATAATAATCATACTGACTTTATAAGGTTTCACTGGTATGTGTGAGAATTTAATAAAAGAATCCATGGAAAACACCTGCCATTATGCTTAGCATTTGGTAACAGCTTAATAAATTGTTAGCTATTGCTTTTTTTTTTTTTTTTTGAGATGGGGTCTCGCTATGTTGTCCATGCTGGTCTTGAATCCCTGACCTCATTGGAACCATCCAACAAGGTCTTGCCATGTTGTCCAGGATGGTCTCGAACTCCTGGTCTCAAGGGATTCTGATTGGTTTGGTCAGGGGTGTGGCTTGTGCTCTGGAAGTTTTAAAAGTATTCCTGGTGATTCTTAATGCTCAGCCAAGTTTGGAAACTAACGCTTTTTGGCGTCATCCTAACCAAAAGGACAAGAGAAGATGTTTATAGTTTAGATCAAATTAAGGCACTATGTATTTCAAGCTAATAATTTGACTCACTTTGCTGCATTGGCCACTTAGATTAGCCAAACAATTATTTTTTTTTCACTGAATTTATAAATTTTGGCTGCTTTGACTAATTAATTAAGCAAAATGTTTGATTCCTTAAAACCATATGGCCACAAGCTCAAGTAAATTAAATTCACTGGGAACCAGCTATGATTGTGGGTATTTTGAACAATTATGATTGTGGGTATTTTGAACAATTTTGATTGTGGGTATCATGATACATTAGGTATGCATTATTTAATTCTATTCCAAAGAGTTACTAAGAAACTGGATATTCCATTAAAATGCTGGTAGTTTTAGATTTCTTTGATCAGTTCATCCAGTAAAACCTTGATTCTTCAAACTCCTATAGCTACAGTCTAAAGGAAATTGAATTTGTTGGGGACCAGCTAGGCTTTTCAGTGTAATTTAGAATATAAATTACTATAGAGTACACACATTATTTAATTCCTACACATCTGCCAACAAAGTGTGTGTTACATCAAAATGCCATTGTTGGAATGAAACTGATGCTGCTTTGTCCTTTGATCTCATTCTGGGGACTTTTGAAGGTGTGTAGGTTACTAGTGGATTTGTACCACTGTTGGTTTATTACTAATGTCTTTTAAAAATTAATGAGCCTGTTGGTTAACTTAGTGCTTCGGGTCACACTGATCCATTAGATGAATCATGAGAGAGGTAGCACTCTTAGGCTCTATCAACTTCCTGTCAACATTTTCCGTTCAAGGCGTGAACTGCTAGATTAGAAAAAGGCCCTCACCCTTGTTGCCCAGAGTTCAGCATCTGGCCATGGGCCTGGGGCACCAGGTACCACTTTAGTAGAGCAGAGCAAACCTTTCTGCAGTGCATCCATAGTTGGACAAAACAGAATGAAACAACCACTTGTCTCCAGACTCTAAAATACAAAAGAGTGATCAGGCAATGATATGTGTATGGTTTATTTTCTGCATTGTAGAATAAGTTATTTGTTTAGTAGGTATGTATTTGTAAGGGGCAAAAAATGACATCGTTAGAACATGGGGAGCATATGAAAGTTATTTTAATTACATTTACTCTTTTTTTTTTTTTTGGAAACAGAGTCTTACTCTGTCACCCAGGCTGGAGTGCAGTGGCATGATCTCGGCTCACTGCAACCTCTCCCTCCCGGATTCAAGAGATTCTTGTGCCTCAGCCTCCAGCTGGGACTATAGGTGTGCACCACCATGCCTGGCTAATTTTTCTGTATTTTTAGTAGAGATGGGGTTTCACCATGTTGGCCAGGCTGGTCTCAAACTCCTTACCTCAAGTGATTCTCCCACCTTGGCCTCCCAAAGTGCTGGGATTACAGGCATGAGCCACCATGCCTGGCCTAATTTTCTCCTTCTGATAGTTTTATGAAAAAAGAAATTTGGGCTAAAGATTGAGTTTTTAAAAAATTTAGCTAATGATGGTCAAAAAGATAGAAAGGGAACTAGTATTTAGTCAATGCCTATTATGTGCAAGGTAAGCTCTTTTACTGTGCACAATTTTATTTCTTTTTTTTGTAAAGACAAGGTCTTGCCATGTTGTCCAGGCTGGTCTCGAACTCCCGGCCTCAAGTGATCCGATCCTCCCACCTTGGCCTCCCAAAATGTTGGGATTATAGGTATGAGCCACTGTGCCCAGCCCATCATCTCCTTTAATCCTTACAACTCCTCAAATAGACTCAGTCCCAATTCATAGATAGGATAACTGAGGTTTGGGGAGATAAAGTAATTTGCCCAAGTTTGCATGGTGTGAAGTCGCAGAAGTGGGATTTGAGCTCAAGTCAGTCTGCCCTAGGCCCTGTGACCTATCCTTATATCGTAGGGTGACCAACCATCCTGGTGTGCCCAGGACTGAGGGATTTCCCGGAAGGAGAGACTTTGTTTTTAAACCATGACAGTCCTGGAAAGCCAGGAGGAGTTGATCACTCTACTTGGTAACCAGAGGTTACTGCTTCCTTAGCAAGCTAGGAAGATTCCAGGCCCTAGGTGAGTGTCCAATGGGAAGGACACATGGGAGGCCTGGATCTCTCTCTTATTTCAGGATAAATGTACCCAGTCATGCGACATTCCCATTGGAGAAAGCAAGTTAATGGCACTTCAGCCAAATTACACACTATATCCTCATATCATGTAGGTCAAGGGTCAGCAAACTTTTCTTGTAAGGTTTATTTTCAATCTTCAACTTAGGTTTTCCGTGTTGTGAGTTGTAGGATCTCTATCACAACTGCTCAGCTCCATCATTGTAGTTTGAAG